TGTGTCCAACTTAGGATTTCCAACCGAGATGATGTACTCCGTCGGAAGAGTTGGTGTTTTTGGCCAACTTGGATTTTCCCAACCAAGATGATCTAATCCGGTTAGAAGTGTTGATTTGTTCAATTTGTTAAACAACCGAGATGGTTATTTCAAGTTCATGAATTTGTTTTGGTTATGCTGGAGTGCTTCGACCGTGTTATGGATTCCGGTCGACAAATTATGAATTATACCGGAGATATTTTGCTGAAGATGGAATTGATTTACTAGCCGTGCAAACACTTAGAAAAATATTGAGTTTCTCCATTGAAAAGAAATCATTACAAAAGTGCTGGGACAGAGCCCGTTACATCAAAGAGTGGAAGCAAAAATACAAAAACAAGGAAATAGAACTAACTTAGGGGAGAGATTGGTGAACTGTCCTCGCCAGCATCAAAGGTTGATTGGTAGACTGACGTCTTTGGCACCGGGCTTCAGCATCGCCGGGCTGCTCTGGCACCTCGGCCTCCTCTGCCTCTGAATCTGTGTCATCCTCTCCATCTTCAAGTCCTTCCTCGGCCTCCGCTTGCAGAGCGCTGAATACGTCGTTCGCGTAAGGCACAAGGTAGACCGGTAGCGAAGCTGGAGGAGGGTTGGCAAATACGTCGGTGTTGGAGCCTTGGCCGAGGTGTTCGCAGGCAGACTTTCAGCCTGCTTTGAAGTAGATGTCTTGCGTTGCAAAGACCTGCTTCTTGTAGCTCTCCTCGGCCTCGTTGAAGCCAGCGGTGTTTGCAGCCCGGCAAGCTTTCTTCTTCGACTTCTTTAGAGTATCCACCTCGGCTTGGAGCTCATCTTGTTTTTTCTCGGCTGCATCCAGCTGGCCGAGCAGTCTGTTATTGTCAGAGTTGGCCATTTCAAGCGAAGACTTAGCCCGGCTGAGCTCGGTTTGAAGGCTTTCAACCTGGCTGGCTGTGTCGTTGGCTTTCTGCCTAAGCCGGTGGATGCGCTCCAAAACCAAGTGTTGTTTCTGAATGGCCTGCACAAAGAAGCAAAGTTGATCAGAAAGGGGACCGAGCAGAAAGGGAACCGAGCAAACACTTGTGAAATTTTTAAAAGGAACATCAACTTACCCTGGCCATAGACTTCACTGACGACTTGACCAACCAAGTGTCAAGGACGTGGTCGCTGCCGACCACGTCGCTCGGTAGTAGTAGAGCTTTTGACAGATCAAAGGCGAGCAAATGCTCTTTGTCAGCCTTGATCGAAGCTGTCGTCGGGATGTCTTGACCCCGGTGCTTCAAATGTGGGCGCCAGGCCGGCACTGGGGCGGGGGCGTCTGTTGGATGCTCGGTGGTAAGCTCGGTGACTAGCTCGGCAGACGGGTCTGTCCGAGCTCTTTTACCGGCACGTCGTGCAGAAGGTTCTCGGTTGGATTGCCCGGCGGATTGAGTGGCAAGGGCGACCACGGCGCCACTAGATTGACCGGTGGCTGGCGACCGAGTTACTACGCTCGGCACCTCGACGGATGTGGCAGTGAGCAGGTTCTTGATTCTGCTGCGCTTGGCCATTTCTTGTTCCTCGGTTAAGCGAATGAGGGGCACGTCAGGAAGGGAAGGATCTGGAGGCGGCAAAGGAGCACAGAGGAAGTTGGTTACTCTACTCCGGCGCGGAGCAGAATACCTGTAGGTCGGTGTGTAGCCAAGTAAATCGCTGCAATCTCGGTGACGGTACCTAAGCACAGTCCGAATTGCTTCGACGTTGGGAAATTGATAGTTGGCTTGCAAGGCTTGGATTGCTGCAACAGAAACAGGAAAACCGGTTAGTTACAAAGTAAAGAGTTAAGCTAACCGAGTAAGTTTGAGTGGCTTACATGAAGAACCGAAGTCCTTGTTTATGAACCAGCCCGGTACCTCGGCTGTTTCATAATTGCCCGACACCCAGAAAAAATCATCGTCGTGAAGATCTTTATCCGGGGTGCCGGTCACAATTTTTTCTTTGCCCGGTCTGATCTTCAAGTAATAAGCCAAGCCGTCCCCGGTATGGCCCATTGTGTATTGCCTTAATATCTCGGCTAGACCCAAGTGGGTGCCTAGCCGATTGTTCAACTCGTGAACGCCGTTGATTATTCTATAGGTATTGGTGGACACTTGGGTGGGTGCCAGCCCGGTGCGGCGAAGGAACTCGGTTATAAGAGGGTTGAGCGGGAAACGGAGGCCCCCTTCAATGATTGAGAGCACGGTGAAGGGGCATTGGTCAACTCTTCCCCAGGGTGTGGTCTCCTCTTCTGCCAGTTCGAGATAAACATCGGCCGGAATGCCGTAATCCTCTCTAAAAGCAGCTTGCGCGGCCGGAGTATCCACTAGGAAGCGGAATTTCCCCATTTGTGGCCGGCTTAGTGTATCCCGGCTGAGGGGTTTGGCACTGGTTATTGGATGCTGCTCGATCCTGAGAGCCTCAGGAATGACAGTGGTCCCCTTGGACTCTGTAGGAAAAGGACGGCAAGTGTTAAGTGTTAGCGCGGTCGCGCAAAAGGAGTTGGATTTTAGCTCGGTCATTAAGGCTGCCAAATCACCTCGGTTGTTTATTCTATCTAAGGAGCCCGGTTGCCCAAGCAGACCAGATGTTAGCCCGGTTGAGCGACCAAGTCCTTTTGTTATCTCGGTTTTTGCTGGGGTCGAGACAAACTTGTTATTTGCTCGGTTAGACTGGTTTTTTGGATCAAAAGAGGACCAGGAGCCCGGTTCACCCCAGTTTTTCAGTGTTCTTCATGAATATGAAGAACACCAAGAACAATGGAAGGTTAAGAGCGGATTCTACGACCTATGCCCTAATAGCTATGTTTTTGTGCCCTAATGTGTGTATAATGAAAGAAAATAGCAACTTAAGAGGGATCGAAGGTCTTACCTGTGAAGGGCAGGAGCTGTTCTTCCAATAACGAAGAACGACAGTCGAGGCTGAGAGGAAATGGCTTGAGCTCTGAAGCGTTAGATGGAAAAGAAGCAGTAGGAAGAAATTGTATAAGGGGGGTCTTGTATATGTAGGAACGAGAGGCCGCCCAAATTCAAATTCTGGCAAAAACGGCGGGTTGGCTGCCCGATGACCAATGGCAGCCCGCCACGTGTCCCCATTTATGGCTATGACAGGACTGAAGCGACGGGTTGCAAATACGAAGAGCCAACCGAGCTTCGACGAAGAGGATGTCAGCCAAGGAATATAACGGGCAAGTTCGCAGACAATTATGTTTAATCGAGGTTCGGCGTCTTGAAGACCGGAGAAGTGTTATCTCGGTCGAAGTGAATAATCCCAGTCACGCTTTTGCGGACGGAATTAAGGGGCAATTGAGAGGGTGATTTATGATCTGGAGTTGGGCCGAGATATCGACCGATCAGGTGGAGAGCCCAGCAGTGCATTGGGCCGAGATGATCGACCGTTCGCCCAGAGAAGGGCTGCCAGAACTTGGGCCGAGCAGAACTTGGGCCGAGTGCGTCCCGCCCCAGACCGTAAAGAAGCAGCTCGGTAAGGCAGAGCTCGGTCGGACCAGGATGCTCGGTCCGAGGTTAGCCGAAGCCAGACAAGCCGAGTGACCGGCGCCCGGAATGGCACGGTCGGCTGAGGTTACCGTTTGACCGACGTGAAAGCTGACCACGGGGTGCTTCGAGCTAGGCTTTGCCGAGATGCCGCCTAGCCCGGTCCCCCCTTGGAGTTTGCCAAGGAAGCGCTTGGGTATGAAGCACGGCACGGCACGGCGCAGCAACGCATAGGGCAGCTCGGCTGCCGAGCTCCAGCTGCGATGACAGGCAGTTGAGATTAGGTGATGTTCAGCAAGATCTATGCTGACAGATGGGATAGCAGAGCCACGTGTTAGGAGATGACTGGGAGTGGATATGGGGCTCAGAAGGTATATAAGCATGTCTGCGCCCCCCATACGCGACACACGAACATCTCTGTAAGGACTTCTTACACTCAAACACTCTCTCCCTTCTCTATCCATCCTAAGGTGTGTGCTAACTTGACCGTCGGAGGGTTTTTCCGGCCACACACCGCCGGGTAGCTCACTATTACTTGCTCGCAGGTGATCGGATATCGACGGAGCTCGGAAGAAAGGAATACGGGCTTGCCGGAACATTTGCTCCTCGTACAACTTTTATGATTAAAAAAATATTTTTAAAAAATTTCATTATGAAAAGTATTTAAAAATTTTAAAAGGGGGATTGAAGAAAATGATAGTTTGCTATCTAACCAAATACATTTATAGTATTTTTAATTGAGAAAATTGCAAGAAGATGAAAAGAAAGCCAAAATATTGCAATTTTTTATGGAGTGTATTTTCAAATCGCAAGACAGATGAAATTTTTGAAATTAATAAAAATGAGATGGAATCTTTACCCAAAAAGACAACAATACCCCTTATTATCCTAATTTCTCTTTCTCTATCTTTCTCTTTCCCAGTAACTCCAGTAACTACCTTGTCGCCGACATTATATTTCCTACTGCTATTGTTGCAATCTTTAGCCTCTTCTCTCACCCTCTAGCCATCCTTCATCCACTTTACCTAATTTCTCATATTTCTTCATCATCCTTACCCTACCTCTACCTCGAAGGATGTGTAGGGTTGGGACTTCGAAGGATGCTAGCGCCAACATCGGTGTTGGGTTGGCTGGCATTGTAGGAAGGGACAAAAGGAGGAGAAAAGAAAAAAGGGAAATGTAATTTGACAAAAATTCCCACCTCTTCCCAATTATTTTTTGACTTCTCATTTCTACTCTTATCACTTTGTTTTCATTCATCAAATTGCAATTCTTTTCACTTCTTACCATTGGTTAACAAGAATTCCCTTCTTAACAAAACGCTACTTTTAATACTAGATAGATTAGATATTGCACCCTTATTTGTTTTGTGTTTCAGAAACTATTTTCTAGTTTTTTTTTTTGTAAATAAAAATTATTTCTTCCACTGAAAAAATAAAAATATGTAAAATAATAATTAATTTTTCTTTATTTTTTTTCACGAAATTAATTTTTAAAACCAAAGCAAACCAAAAAGTTAGAAAGAAAATTCCGAAGCTACTCATCTCATTGCACGCGACCGTTTGGTAGAGTTTCTTCTTCTCTTCCCTTCTCTTCTCTTCTCTGCAATTTGTGTATATATATATATATATATATAGAGAGAGAGAGAGAGAGAGATGGTGGGTCGCGGTCCAATAGAGGTGGCGAAGACTGTGTTGGAGGTGGCGGACGTGGCTTGGACCGCCGTGGAATGTCGGCGCCGCCACCAACACGAACACGAGCACGAGGATTCCGAAGAGACCCCGTCGGAGGAAGAATTGGAATGTATGAGATCTGAGAATCGCCGTCTGAGGAACTTGCTTGAACAGAACCTCAAACTCCTTCAGAATCTCTCCGAATCTCCTTGTTTATTGCAAGATTGCCCTCCCGATGTACGTAATTCCTCTACTTTTGTTCCCATAATTGAATTTTCTGCTATCTTCTGCAATATGATGTTTTTCTTTATAAAAGGGTGAAGCTAAGCTTTAATTTAATTGAAAAATCTCATACAAAAATCATAATTAATAAATGAAAATAAACATTAGTATATAAATTAAATTTTGAAAACGATAGGATACCCAATTTTTTTTTAGATTCATATCCTGGGTAAATTCATGATAATGTCTCTAGGTATTCTTCTAGGAGGTGGATTCCCGGAATCACCCCCGAAGTCCTGTTTTGAGAATCCGAATCATTCACTTTATCAAGGCCCTTCATATATATCATCCACACAAAAATTAGATCGATCCATAATCCTAGCCTATTTAATTTATCATGTTTGTCACAAAATATAAATGGTCTATTTTTAGAAACACAATTATAGTTTGTTTGTTTGTTTGTATTTTTTTTTTTTTTTGGGTCATAAACGCAATAAATTGAATAGGCTACAATTATCGGATTAGCCTAATTTTTGTGTGGATGATATACACATATATTTGATTCACATGACTAATAGTGAAGTATTAATAATAGTATTCACTATCCAATTGGATTAATATCCATTGGATTAATAATCCCACCCCTACCCCATTATTAATAATCCTACAAATTTGTTTGATTAATTATCCATTGGATTAATAATCTTAAACCAAAATGTTAAAACAAACATAGGATAATTGGGCCCACGGATTAATAATCTCAATCTCATGCTCTAATCCACCCAATCAAACATGCCCAAAAGTGTCCAACAAAATGAATGGTTCGGATAATCGAAATAGTACCTGTGGTAGGTCCCATGGTTCAGAACAACAACCTCTGGTCCAAATTATGGACGGGAGGCAATCCTACTCCATTCTTCTAAACCTACAATAATACTTTTAATGTAACAGGACAATAAATAAACCCACAGTAATAAATATTTAAAACGAAAACCCAAAATATTGTTAGAAGAAGTTGAGATCATGAGGTGAGAATAAAAATGCATGATTGCAAATGTAGAGAAATCTCTAGTGAGAATTTTTTTTTTTTTAATTGAAATACCATATGTAAGAGCTCTAGGGCTATGGTCATCGTAAATTTATCTCAGTCTCATTCCCTCCGTCTTTTTGTTCTATTTATAGAGTGGAGCATTTTTTTAACATGATGGATATCTAGTCGTCAAATAATCACCCACAACTATACTCCTTAAAATATAAAGACACCAAATTTACTATGTCAAAACAAGTAAGTTTAGAAAACACATCCTTGAAAACTATATATACCAAAGCATGAATGGTGAAGTGTCATTTGTAATAATATACGAGGGCCTTATATCAAACCAATTGTAAGGCCTTTCCACTACACCATATAAAAACCTTTCTAAAATCAAGGGGGCCGAGGAAAATGACCATTAATTATAATGTAGGAAAGTAGGTCTATGCACTATGTTATATACAGCATTGCATTTGCCCCTACATCTATATATAATAGACGTCTGGTTTAATTCTGTGTGTATGTATCTACATTTTTTTTGTTTGTTGTTTTATGAACCTAACCAATAGGAGAGTCCAACATGTTAGACCAAAGTCCTATAACCCCTTGGGAAGAGTAAGAATTTTGTTTAGAAATTTGATATGTGGACAGGACAAAATCGTCACACTGTTAATTGAAACACTAAGCACAAGCAATTGAACTGTGTCTTCTGGGTTTTCATTTTGCTTGGCGGATTGCTTACTGGTGGTAAACTTGACATTTATGTACAACTGGACCCAGATGAATTTCAATGGTAAGAGTTAATGATGATGCATATGCATATGAACTTCAATGTCTTGCACTTCAAATTGCTGAATAATTCAACCAGTTTCTGAATGTTGATCTGGTATTGGAATTCATCCTAAGACATTATAGGTGAATAGAAAACTATTACAGTTGTAATGGTTGGGAAAGATGGATAGAGAAGAATGTTTTGAATTTTGATATTTATACTATTTTGGGTCCAAATTATTATTATTATTTTTTTTTGTTGGACCACTTTTTGAATTTCTTAAAATGTGTACATTGGCCTCGTTTGGGAAGTTGGCTATTTTAATAGGCTAAAATAGTTGTATTTGGGAAGAGGGTTGGATTTTTTTGTCTTTGTGAGAGAAAAAGTGAAATGATTATGGGTTTGATATGACGTTTTGTACTATTGGCTATTTTAGCCTTTTTTGTTCTTTTCTTTTTGTTTTGTTTTGTTTTTTGTTTTTTTTTTTTTGTTTTTGTAAGATTTTAACCCAAAAAAAGCCCAAACCCAACTTGCCAAACACCCCCATTGTATATTTGTTCTTTCTCACTACCCTTTGGCACTAATTGATGAAATATTTTTTGTTCCCTGATGAATGATTCATTGAATTATGGTTTTGACTCTTGACGTGTTACTGATTTTTTATTTTAAATGGAGCCAAATTTTGTTAATCATGTTTGTTTTCCACTTGCAGCTGTATGATCGTCTTGTGGCCACTGTGGAATCTGAAAAGTTCTTAACTCAGCTTAAATCCCTGCATGATGAATCTGTTGATGGAATTGGCTCCAAATTTCCTTTTAAGGAGGCCTCAGGTTTTTATTTTTCAATTTTTTTTTTTTTATCTCTCTTCAATTAATGATCTGCTTATAGTATTAATGCCATACTTGAAATTATCTTTGTAATTGCTCAATTTGTTCATTGCTGGTTACTTGGTCTGGTTTCTTTGTTAGGAGCTGATTTGCAGTCAGCTGAAGTACATGTTGACCATGAAGAACCTAGTTGGTGGGTTTGGGTCACTGATGAAATGGTTCCAAGTGATGTTGAAGAACAGAGTGGAATTGATAATGAAAAGTATTTAGTTGTTTGTGAGGAACAAGTGGTGGATGGAGTTGCCAACTTTATGGCTAGATGTGTTCTCTCAAATCCAAAAGCTCAGGTATGTGATGGACAGAATGTTTTACTTATTTATTTATTCATTTATGGAATGAAATATCATGCATCTAACATGATTTTGTTTCCCTGTACTTGCAGACTTTGACACCTGAGGAGTTGCAGAAAAGTAAGCTAGCTTTTCAATTTTTTATTTTTTATTTTTGATCCTTAGGCCTCGTTTGGGAACAGGCTAATTTAGTAACTTTTTGGCTATTTGGCTAAAAATATAGGTAAAAAAAACTTGTATATTTGGAATGACTTTTTGGCTAATTACGAAAAGATGTGCAAAAAGTAGAGAGAAAAGAGAATTTTTGACTTTTTGGTATGGGTTGTTGGCTTTTTGGCTAATTTAGTAACTTTTTGACTAATTGACTAAAATAGCCTCTTGCCAAACGAGGCCTTAGGAAGGCTCTTTTTTCCTCGATTCTGATGGGAATAACAACTTTTCTTGATCTTCTTGGCTTTTGCTTTTATTATTCATTTTCTTTTGTTGATTTGATGGTTAATTACTTATCTGGATTTGGATGTTGCTCGTATGATTTTGCCTCAGTAGGCTGAGGAATACATAATTGTGTTATTTGAAGGTAGTAGTGATTTCATAAGATGAATTTGTTCATGCAGCTCTGAATAAAGCATTGGGTGGCATGAACAAGTTGGAGAAGATGCTAAATGTTTGGCATGCTGGGAAGTTGTTTTATACACTTTCTACCTGGGGACTTGCTCTGGCAGGGTGAGTTATTTGCTAGCTTGTTATTAATCCTTGTGTGCTCTTGGATCTCTTACCTTCAATTTCATGTGGCCATCAACGCCAAATGAATTCCAATAAAGACCCCAAAGATATAACATCAATTTCTGGAAATCATTTTTTTATCATCTTTGATTTAATGGTTGTGTGTTTTCTTTTTTGTCAAGTGACAATTTCATTAAAAAAGAACAAAGAATACAAGAATCAAGGCATACCTTCCAAATACAAGAAAGGGGGAAAACAAGAGGCAGCTAGACTAATGAGGGTGTTATTTTATTTATTTTTTTGATTGGCACCCGTGTTTTCTATAATGTTATCTGTCCAGATGACTGGCCCCTACAAATTATGGAAGCTCATGGCCTGCATCCGGGTCGTAGCTCGTCCACACCTTTCAGATAAAAATATTTCAAAAAAAGATACATAGAAGGAAAAGAATGATATGTAGAAGGTTTATTTATCAAAATAACTATAAATAAATAAAGAGTAAGAGAACATTGAATCAAAGGCTAGACACATAGTTGCACGAAGCGGGGGTGGGGATGGGAGTGGAGCTGAAAGAGGAGAACATTGAGTCTAAGTTGGGAGCATGTAAATGTTGATATATTAATAATTATTTTGTATGCTTAATTGTAATATATATATTAAAATATAAATAAATATTATAGGTTGATGTCAGCTACCAGCTGTCTTCATTAAGTATAAATAAATATTATGTAAATAGAAACTATTAGAGCAAGTTTATTTTTTTATTTTTTTGTTTTTATGAGATTTGTATGTTTGAGAGGTTCTATCTCAGTTGGGAGCGAGTTTCTTACAAGTTTTTTATTTGGGATCACGGAATCGTGTTTCTAAATAAGAAGCATCACCCGAGGAGGAGGTTCTTGCTACTAAGGCTAAACAGCATTGGAAGAATCATGGTTAAAATGAAAAGCTCCATACCCCCCTTTTTCTCAAGTTCTTAATTTTTTTTTATCGATCTGCTCTCCCAGCTTTATGGCTCGGGTTTGAGTCACATAAATCAACCTCTCCACAAGAAAGTAGGGGAAAGGCAGGCCTACCTACTATATTATATGCCTCTCCCAGACCCTATTGTAAGTGGGAGCCTTTTGGGTACGATCTATTTACATACGGACACTAATTAGCCACAAGGCCCATAATCTAGCTGTGATACAGGAAGAAATTAGTGGTTTCATGTGACAAGAAATAATTGCTTTGTTTTGGGCAATTACACATTTTTTTTTTTGGGTTTGCAGGTTGTACAGGACTCGTGTGGTATTGAGACTTGCGGCAACGGGAGTTCATCATACCAGCAAACTTGTTCTGAAGGCTCTCTGAATATGGTTGTCATTGTTTCCGTACAATGTAAAAGTTCTATGGTGAAGAGCCTGTCAAACAAATGTGATAAAACCTATAAATGATTATGACTTCCTGCCTCTCTGCTTGTACAGACCAGCAAACCTTCATTGTTACTCGCTTCAATCAGAGTCTGGATTAATGTGTAAATAATTGTAAATTACATTGTTGTATCTTGGCAATTCACACAATTCATCGAATTATGGTCTCATCTTTCTTGATTTATAACTGCATTATTTGATGTCCCGGTGGTCAAATGATATGATTGTCGAGGATAAGATTGGCAAATCACATGGATAATACTAACTCAGGGCTGAAGTTAGAAACTACAGTTCTGAAGAAAAATGAAAAGAGCTTTGTTCAACTGCTCAGGAATGGGAATAAGATAGCAACGATGATGATGCTTAATCGAGACAATAGAAACAGATAAATCGAAGGTTTGAAATTTTAATTTTCAAAATCAATATCAAAAGTATCTGGCATAAGCCTAGATACTAACTGACAAGCTTACTAACTGAATCAAAATTTGAAAATAAAAATATAAAATCCCAAAATTAGCGAAATTGATTAGGTAAGTCCTAAACAAAAGCAGCCTTGCGCTTACACCCCCGCCTAGGCCTCTCGCGATCCACATCCCAAGTAAAGCACACAACAATGGCAGTCAGGTTGTCTTTGCTACGAAGGCCCAATGCCTGATCAACAACTTCACTAGCACACTGCTTTGGATGGTGGTGTTGCATTAACCCATGACAAACAATGTCGACTGCTTCTTGATTCGACAGTACATCCCAGATCCCGTCAGAAGCCATGATCAAAAACTCATCATCCTCAGTTAAAACAATTTGATGAACATCCGGCTCTGCAGTGAGAGGCGACAACGACACAGACCCAAAAGGGCTCTTCATATACCAATCTCCAAGGGCACGAGTCACGGCAAGTTCACCATTAGGGTACCCGAATTTGATGGTACCACCTAACTCCTCAACCCTTCTTCGTTCCGGCAAATAACTAGTCCTGTGATCTTGAGTTATCGGCATTGCAATCCCTTTTCGACAGATCACAGCACGACAATCCCCAGCGTTTGCTACTACTAAATGCCTGCCGAGTACTAGAGCAGTCAGTGCCGTGGTTCCACAGTCAGATGAAACACCACTGCATTCTTCATCCGCCAAGGCACGATCAGCGAGCAAAAAAGCTTTGATGTGACAATCCTTCAACTCATTCAAGAAACCATTATCATCACCATCATCAATATTATGGGATGTTTTGAAGAAATCAACATCTTGGAACAAAAATCTAATGGCGTTGTTCTTGAGATACGTTGCGGCTTCAGAGCCTCCATGACCATCGAAAACAGCGTAGAAAGAAGTTGGAAGAGGGCAGGTATGAAGAGATCCGAGATGGGAAGATAGATTGTCGACTACGATGTGTTCATCCTCGTTCCATCTTCTGGGTCCAGTTGCTGTGTGGCTACCAGAACGAACCTTTAACGCAAACTTCATCACCATCACTGTAGAAGAAGAAGAAGAAGAAGACGAAGAATCGGAAAAAATTGGTTTGTATCGGAAGGAATTTATAGCGAAAAGAATTGAAGCCACACTTTGATTTTATATTGGATTTTGAAGTTTCCAATTGTGTGTCTCCGAATAAATAGGTTACTTCTTGTGAACGTTTTCCATTGTAAAACACTTATATGGTAAATTTCCCTTTCCCTTTTCGTTTTTTTTTTTTTTTTTTTGGGGGGGTTCAATCTGTTGATACAAATTTGATTAGATTAAATGGTTATTGTTATCCAATCAACATAGTTTTTTATAAAAATGAACTGCTCAATAAGTCTTACATATTGGGGTGTTCAAAGATAGTAGTAGAGTTAAATTGATTTGCATTGGAAGGAATTTATAGTAAAAAGAATTGAAGCCAAACTTTGATTTTATATTAGATTTTGAAGTTTCCAATTGTGTGTCTCCGAATAAATAGGTTGCTTCTTGTGAATGTTTTCCACTGTAAAACACTTATATGGTAAATTTCCCTTTTTGTTTTTTTTATTTTACATCTAATTTCATTTTTTGTTTTATTTTTTTGGAGGGTCAAAGATAGTGTTTAGTATAGTTACTAAAATTAGATCATAACTGAAGGATTTGCGACTACTCCTACTCACCATATCCTAAAGTATAACTACTAAACCATTGAGTCACACCCAAATGTCTACATTAATTTCAATTTACTCCTCACTTTTTAATTATTTTTTTGTTAATTTTTCACATTTTGCGTTAAAAGCAACAATAAACTCATTTATATAATACCCTTTCAAAAATTAACAACAATAATTATTTATTTATATTAATTGCATTTAATATAATCCTTTAACACTCTTATATTTTTATTAAAATATCATTTTATTCTTTTTGTCAATTTTCAAAACGAGTTGTTATATGATTGACTTGTAGCAAATCTAAAGATTAACTGAGACAATTAAAATATGTAAGATTAAATTTGAGACAATTAAAATATGCAAGATTAATCTAAAATACAGAAGTGCAAGTGAATTGTATTCAAATAAGATAAATTAAATAACTTGACAACTAAAAAATACAAATATTGATACAGTTATCCGTGACACAATACCAACCCAACAATAACAATCTAACTTGTAAAGTTTCAAAAAATAGAAGACAACACTCAAAGCACAAGCTCAAAATTTATATTTTTATGTGTTTATTATATATGTCATATATTTTATGATAAATTACACTTACCTCCTTTGAGATTTCTGATAATTATAATGGTTTTTTCTTCTTTTTCTGAAATTACATTGACTTCCTTTGAAATTTACTTTTGATTTTCATATTCTTCCAATCTGTTAGTTGACCGTTAGTTTGACTAATGGTTCTATTTTTATTTTTTTCTATAAAAGTTAGTGATTAGTTGTTAGATAAGCAGATAAAGGATTCTTGTTTGGCTTGTACAGCATTTGAAATGATTATATGTTGATTAAGAATAAAAGAAATAATCATTTTTTAGGTTAAAAAAATAGTATGACTTATTGAAGCTAAATGAAAAATAGAAGACCTTGTATGTATGTAAAGCAATTAATTATGTGTGTGTGCGTGTGTGTGAGAGAAAGAGAGAGAGTATTTAGAAATATTATTTAATATTGCTCAAATAAATACATGTGGTGTCACAATTTTATTTTTATTAGTTTAAATAGTGAGACTTGTCAATTTTATCTTATTTTTTGGAAAACAACTAAACTGTATAATGTCAAGTATTTATTAAAAATTACCAAAAACTTATTTTATATTTATGTAATTAATTTTTGGAACAATTACAACAACAACAAAACAAACAAATAAACAAACAAACAACGTTTGAACTATTTAACAAAATAAACTACAAGTTTTTAATTTTATCAATTTAAATCTTAATATTTTGATTTGTTTTCAATCTAAACTATCACCAATTTTTGTTAAGTAAAATCGATGGAAAAAAATATTTTAATTAGTAAACTCAATATAGATATACATAAAATGTCTAAAATACCATTTCTCATTGAATTTATGACTAAATTACCTATTTTTAATCATTTTACTTAAGAAAATAGGTAAATAATTTAAAAGAAAATAAATATAAAAAAAATTATGATTTAAATTGACAAAATTAAGAATTCATAATTTATTTTGTTATAAGAGTCAAATCTTGAATTTTTTTGTAATTTTCCCTTAATTTTTTAATTTGTTTCATTATCACTTTTGTCATAATAATAGATTATTCTAAAATACACACCATCTTATGCATATCATATACAAGTTATAAAATTTATGGTATTGATTATCACAAATGTCAAAATTAATTTTTTTTTAGTCATAACCAAATAACATATAAGATATGACCAAAATAATATTCTCTAATATTAAAATTATTAAACTGATCCTTCCATTAATGCCATTAGTCACTAGGGAAGTCAATATAATTTTAAAAAAATGAGGAAAGGCTAGTGTAATTGTCAAGAACCGCAAGCGGGGGTGATTGCAATTTACCCTATATTTTATTCAAATGTAACAGATATAATTTTTTTTTAAAAAAACCCCAACAAAATGAAGAGGACTAGAAGAATTATAATGGGGGAAAGAAGATCCCATGACTAACAAAAATTAGAACATCAACCCTAAACCCAAAAACCTTCTCAAGTGTTCCTAATTTCTTTGACATATAGGTTCTTGTTCAAAACAAAAAAACCAAAAACAAAAAAAAGCTACTACATAGGTTATTATTTTCGGAACAAATGAGTATTGGCTGCATCATAACTCCAACGAAACGGACTATTACATTGCATATTGAACATATAATTCTGGAATAATTCTATTACAGAATGCAAGTTTCAAAGATGAGAAGCAGTAACTTTTAGACACTTTTGTTGCTATAGCATGGCATTCAGAACAACTATGGTATGGTCACCAATACCTAATTTTAGTTTACAGACACTAGTTATGACATTATTATACCTAATTTTAGTTTAAGCTACAAAGGGGAGCAATAATAATAACTAAAAAAATTGAGTGGTGCAACATGCATCAATTAATATACTAAATAGTGTACCAACACTAGTTATGACATTATTATTAACCCCACTCATTATACAAATTACAAATACCAAAAACATCTTAAATTCTGCTACATTATCAATTGGTACATTAGTTAGTGCACTAATTGGTGCATATAGCATTAGTCAAAAAAATTTGTACCATAGAATTTGCTCGTGTTCTGTAGCCTATTATTAGATGGAAACTTATATATTGCAAGATTTTGGGAAGATGCAACTATATGATAGAGGGAAGTTCCGCCTTAATGTTTAGCATTTAGACATACAGATTTCTATTGCAAATGTTTAGTAATAATAACACTGTTAATTGTTTTACATCTGGAACACTATCGTAGAGAATTTTGTATTTTTTTTTCCCATTAAATTGCTTTAAAAATGACCCCAAATATACCTAATACTTGAAGGCAACAAACAAACTAATCCTATTAAACGGAAAACTTATTAGTTTAACACCATACCAAGTTCTTAATGTCCGACATAATGCTAAATATTTTAAATTACCAAATCCCCTTTATCCTTCACTATCATTTTACAATTATGAAGAACATTGAAAAGTCATTTCAAAATTAAACACAAAGTATGGTATAAAGGCATCAACTCTTATGAACTAAATTGGTATCCCAACCAATAGCAGTGGCTAATATCAATTCCTATCAAAATTCCCAAATCAAATCACCAATAAACAGAAGGTTCGTAACATAAATTTAGAAAATACAAAATTAAGGCCTGGTAACACTAAAAGCTGTGTTACTGAATTAAAGAACAGAGATCTTTATTTTCACACATTATTGATGAATTGGAGTGTATTTCATGAGCCCAATGGAATAATTGTGGGAACAGAAGCAGACAGTAGCAATGATAACAACAAAAGAAAACTATAGACAATTCTATGCTTTCGTGTTCATCTAAAAGAGTTTTTGTACCTAGAACTTGGCAAGAGAAACCCCATAAAGTACAATCAAAAACCAAGTACAGTACCGACACTAACATAAATATTAATTAAAAGCAAAACAATAAAAACAATTGAGTTTCTAGTCCACTTTCTAAAAGTAAAATTTGAAGTGTATAATATGGGGAATAAAAATACTAGAAGTCTACATTGCACAATACCATTGACGTTGAGCTGAGAATATTGCATTCATGATTGCAACATATCTATGTGGAAGAAAACGTGTAAGAGCAAAACATCATCAAGAAGAAACTGTAGTTATTGTAGAAAGAAAAGCATAAAACATACTGTCCAGGTCCATCAGTGGATCCATGCAAACACAGTATCTGCCATCATATCAGAAACTTCATTAGAGAATATATCTGAGGTAACAGAGCCAATAATGAATACAATGTTGCAACATCTACAAAAATAACACATACAAAGAGAAATGAATCAATCAAATCTTACTTACATAGCTATATGCATTGGGGCTGCTGTTGCCATGGTTAAATTTTCTCTTCCAATATAAAGATGCTATATTTCCCCAATACAGTCATGAAATCAATATGCGAAAATTTTCCTATCAAAACTTTCAAACATAGAGGCTTGGATTGAAAAAGATTGCCACTTGATATACACAAACACAATAAGTGGTTGTTCTTCACCACATAAGAAATTTGTTGAGAGCAATAACATACTTGAGACTGACAATTATTCATTAGGGGTATATAAAACATTTTCTAACTAAATCCATCCCCACGCTTATATTTCATATTAAAAAAATATGAGTAATTCACTCTGTATTCTGATGGACAAGGTAGAATTTGACAGCCACAGGCCAGTCAGAGAACTCAATCAAACAAGGTAAATTATAGATAATTGCATGATTAGAATCCATGTTAGGGAAGGAAAAAAAGAGGCAGGAAAATATATGCAGTGCCAGGATATCACCACAAGGTCCAAATGGAAGCATATCACAATATGTTAATTCGCAACAAAACATGAGTAGACATTGATGGATCATGGATCAATCAGGCAACTAACTTCAGCCAGCATACTTGTTTAACCATGCAAAAAGTATTAAACACTCACTCGAGGCTGTGGATGAAGTGGCCCTGAACAGAACACCCACTGTATATCAATTTCACCAAATTAAATCGAACAATAATTTTACATAAATCAACGTTAATCACTGTCAAGGATAAAACAAAGGATCATTGATAAAGACCCAGATAGCAGTGATGACCCAATCCCATCAACCAAGTTGTCTTTGTTCAGTTGCTGGTCTTTAACCACAAACTCCTCCAATTTCAGCAACAAACTCTCTGCCCTCTAATTCAGCACTGCACTGCCACCGACGAATCATAGACGCAGTCACAGATGTTGAAGCCAATGGTGATCACCACGACTTGGTTGAGCTGGTAACAGAATTCAAGAAAGACAGAACCTGCATAGAACATTGAAGATGACAATCCATGAATTGGTATATCAGGGTGTTTCTAGAGAGAGAAAAAATAGAGTTACGTACAAAAGAAATATGGGGAATGAGAGGGAAATGGCATTTGATGTGCTCCAGAAGAAAGGGTTTGTGTCAAGTAAGATCATGAGAAGACTAGCATCATCTGGCATTACTGAAACGAACATGAATAATCAGCTATAATATACAGATAGTAATTCATATATATGATATATATGCAGATATTTTTCATATACAGACTGAGACAAAATACATAAACATGAATATAGAGATGCATAGAGAAATACCTCTGTAAAGCTTCGATGGAATTGCTGTCATTCGCACTTTTTGAGGAAGTAGTAGAAGGTGGTACATTACTCTTGCAACCTGAATCATCTTTTAACACTCTATCCTTTATTTCATCCAACTCATGTAGTATAATTTTCCTTTTTTCTCCACAGTCAGAAGCAATTTCTAAAATTTCATCCAATATGTTATGCATCATATCAATAAATTGTGTATTGGAAGCAACCCCCAAGTCATTGTACCCCCGATTCAAATCCTTTCTCCATCGTGGTAGAATGTAGTTATCTGGAACCTTGTTCATTTGTCTTGTATTGAGCACTGAGAGTGAGTGAGCACACATAATGCCCCTAAACTCAAACAAACGACAAGCACATTAGACTTCACATTTAGTTGAATTAAAGTAAACAAGAAAGTCCACATGCATCCATTTCTCACCAAGCATGACGTCTTCCTTCACATTATATATACAAATTGATCCATCATCTTTGACAAAGGAGGGATGACAGTAAATTAGTCTCTTAAATTCCCCTTAAACTTCTTTGAATTTTGCATTGGTGTAGGCTTCCTCAAATTGCTTCTCGATACCATACATAGTTAGGCGATCATACAATTTGTGTCGAGATTTAAAGTCTGCTTTCTTTTCTTTCTCAACCTTACTCGTCAAAGCATTGTCACATTGTTCAACAAATTGCTTTAAAGTAGTCTTTGAATTGACATATCCATCAAAAAATACATGCATGCTCTCACTTTGTTCCATGGTTGACATGCCAGCCCAAAACATGTCTTTGGCATAGACTGGAACCCACCGATGCCTCTCATTATATAATCCCCTCAGCCACTCATTATCATAAAGATTGAAGTTTGAAATCATTACTTTCCATTTATGCTCAAATTCATCTTTTGTGAAAGAGTCGTAAACTACATTTTGCAAAGCCAACTTTATGGGTTCATATTGAGAATATCCTCTCAATTTCTCTAGAAGTTTCTTCATTACATGCCATAAGCACCATCGATGCCGAGCTTCTAGAAAGACAATATGTATAGCATTTTGCATAGCGCTACACTGGTCAGTTATTATAGCTTTTGGAGGATGCCCTAACATGCAACTTAACCATGATTTGAACAACCAAACATATGTATTAGTGTCCTCACTAGATAACAACCCACACCCAAACAAAATGGATTGCCCGTGGTGATTAACTCCTACAAATAGAGCAAGTGGCAAATCATATTTGTTCATAAGATAGGTTGTGTCACATGTGACAACATCCCCAAACGCTTCATAAGTCACCCTACTCCTTGCATCCGCCCAAAAGAAATTCCTAACATACCCATCATCACCAAAGTTCATTACATAAAAGAAGTTTGAATTTTGTTTTTTCATCCTTAAAAAATAATCTTGAATTAAATTGGCACCCCCTACCGCAAGCCTCCTCAATCTTTTCGCTCTCTCAATGTAATCGTCGCAATCTCGTTCATCAAATGTCAATTGTACATATCCCTCAACTACATCAACTAGTGAATGAAAATCGCTAGACACCCCAATCCTTGCTTGATCATTTACTTCCAATCTTCTCTTCTAGAAGTATGAAGCCTCTTATTACTTTTAAAATGTCGAAAGTCAGTAGGAAACAAGTCATGATTATGTTCAAGTATAATTGTGGTTAACATAAATCTCCCATCTTTTTGTAGACTTGCTCGTACCTTTGCTTTGCAACCAATTTTTGTGGACAATGATGGCTTGAGAGGGTTTACTTCTGATTTTTTTTTCCTCCTCCCTGCCCGAGAACATTCAATTCCAAAGTATTTTAATTCCCCTTCATATCCAGTACTTTGTGTTCTATTAGCTATATGAAATCCAACACGTTCAGCATATTTGGCATAAAATGTGTAAACTTCTTCTTTTGAGCTAAAAGTCATTCCCCTCTTGGGTTCTTCAGCTTCTTCACGATTTAATGAAGGATTGTCATTGTTTGAGTCAATCTCCATTATTGCAATCTTCTACAAAACAATAATTCTAGCAATCAGAAGAGATAGTATCTATTAAAGACATGATCATGGTTAGTTTGATTATCAAAGAGGTCGAATATGAATATGGACATAACCTAAATGTTTTTATCTTCTTTCTTAACTTCAACTTAAAAAATAAGTAACCGTATTCTCCATAATCAACAACAATAGAATTTGCCTCTTCTTGATTCCATCTTGCCTTCTCATATAGTTAAACTAACTCAACTTATTCTCCAATCTAAATATGGTTTTCCTAGTATAATTATTTTGGGGCCAACATCTTTACATGATTTTCTGTTGTTTCTTTATAAATCTAGATTTTAACCTTGAGTTTTGCTTGTTTTCATTACTATAGCTCAAACTCTCTTGTTCATTCTCAACCTCCTCTTTTTACCTCTTCTCTTCTATACCTAGCAATTTCTTACACACAAACACAAACTTGACAAATAATTTGGTCCCTTGCTATTCTTTTCCAGATTCAGATGTCTCTATGGCAAACCTATGAATTATTCCATTGATTTTTCTTGTTTTTTTTACCTGTATATTATTTAGAGACAGACAAATGAGCATTTCTTTTTACTTCTTCTTCAATATTTTATTATTATTATAATTATTTTTATTTTATTTTTTTGTGAATTCTCTACTCCTATGCATTACATTTTTTGACCTTCTTGGCTGAAAGAGTAACTCAGATTGATGTTAAAATGTGAAAAACCATTAACATTGACCAAGTAATGGACAACATTAACCTCAACATGTGATATAACCAGATATGATTATGGTTAGTTTCATAATCATACAAAACACAGACCTCCGTATTTTGATCAGTTCGGTGCAACAAAATTGGGGGTAATCGTAGAGAGATAGGGAGAGTGAGTGTTTTACCCGCCGTCTCAACTCGCCGTACTACCCTTGCCGTTAACCCCAGCTGTCCCCGCCGTCCGCTGTTAGAAAGGGTTCACAATTTACAGTGTTGAGAGAGAGAGAGAGAGAGAGAGAGAGAGAGAGTGGAGGGAACTATGTGGCCTTTTGCCCTCATTCGTAGATTCTGAAGAAATATGGGTCATTTTGGAATGGGATAACCTTCTTTCGTTTCCAACTAGAGCGTAGGGGTCATTCTATTTACACACTAATTTCCCTTTCAAAGCAAAACATTAATTAATTTATTTTTTAACTTTAAAGTGAAATGACTATAAAAGATAAATTATGATACACTCTATTTGTGTATTTATCATAAAAGACAATCATCAATATAATATAAATCATCAATTTTAAACTTATTTCTTACGTATCTTATCTGTCAAAAATTCAAAAACCCTAAAACTAAAATCAAAAACTCTTCAACAAATAATCAAAAATATAATATTATTGAAGATTTTGATTGGATTCAATGAAGAATGCATCTGACAATTCTCATTCGAAAAAATGGAGCAATGAAAATGTTTTTTTTTTTTTTTTTTCCGTTTTCGTCTTCGTTTTCGTTTATGAGTGGTAAATCGTTGTTCGGTTAATCAGAGGTGAATGATATATCATTATTCGACAAACTACAATCGAACAAATTACATCTGTTTAACAGACTACAATCGAACAACTTATATCTGTTCAACAGACTACAATCGAACAAATTACATTTGCTCAACAGATTACAATCGAACAACTTACATCTGTCCAACATACAACAATCAAACAAGTGCAATTTGTTCAGATTACTACGGTCGAACTTTTTGATTTAATTCAACTCTGTAATGCCGAACAGTTATAATTTTTTTTTTTTCAGAACTGTGTTGAGCAACACCATTGACGACATTTTGATGAGTGTTTTCAGCAATGATGTTCACCGATGTGAATAGAGAATAGAGGGGGAGATGAATATCATGGGTGTGGGGTGTGTGGCTGTGTGGGGGCAAAGATGGAACTTTGTGTGTATATTGTTGTGGGTGGGTGTGTGAGTAAGGGTAAATATATAAATTTGTGGTGTGTGATGAGAAAAATATTTATTTTTGCAAATTATTTTTTGTGTGTCTTTATAAGTGGTTTGCCTTGAGAGAGAAAGTGGTGTGTAAATAAAGCCTCTCAGAGCGTAGTGGTGTTTTAAAAAGTTGGTAAAAAGTTTGTTTTTTTAATTTATTTGTGATTTTTTAATTTTTTAATGTAAAAAATAAATTGGTGCCTTTATTTACACACCACTTTTCATTTCAAGGCACATCATTAATTAGTTTTTTTTTTATTACAATATTAACTTAATGTAAAATGATAACAAAAAACAAAGGGTTATGATATATACTTTACGTAATACACACCAATTACTCATTGCACACCACACCTAATTTTTATTTTTATTTTTCACTCAATACACACTATCAATTTTCGAATATTTCCAAAATATCCTCATCTTTTCTAACCATAACCATAACTCTAATCCTAACTCTACCCCGCAGCAGCCGTCACCGCCGCTATCAACCGTTGCCGTCAGCCATCCTACCTCTTTCTACCGCGCGCTACCCTTCGACCGATACCATTCCCTTTTCAGTTTCCATCCCCAATCCATTTGTGCCCCTGCCATGGCAGCAACTCGCATTGCCATTTCCTTCACTGCTGACATTGCAACTCGTATCTCCCTCACCCCCGTCACCTTTCTCCAGCCTCGTTGGCCACCCTCTGCCGCTACCCATCATCTAGATCCCCTCCACAGCATGACTCAGCTCCTCCACTCCATCATTTGATCTACAGTTGCGAGAGAGAGAGAGAGAGAGAGAGAGAGAGAGAGATTTGGGTTTCCAGATCTAGGGTTTGAAGAGAAGAAAAAGAAAAAGAATAAAAAGAAGACGGGGCTATGGATGGAAATAAGGGGAGGAAGAAGCTGCAATAAGAGAGAGAATAGCAGTGAAGCGTAGATTTGCAAAGAAGAGGCGCCGACTGAAGAAGATTTGGAAGGGCAACGCTGGCTTAGCAGTGGTGGCAATGAGGAGATGTTAGGGTTTAGGATTAAAGTTGTGATAAAGGAGATGGGGATGGCAGATGGTGGGTCGTCGAAGCTAGGGATGGCGGAGAAGGTGCGGACGAAGCTGGTAATGGCTGCAACGGGGATGGGTAGCAAGCGAGCGGCAGTGGCGGTTAAGGTTCTGGTTAAGGCGGGTGGAGGTGGGTTGTGTGGATTGAGAAATTTGTGTGAAGGTTAAAAATGTAATTGACTAGAAGAAAAAAGATGAAATAATTTTTTTTAAGCAAATGGAAGATTGAAGATTGTGGGTGGGGTGTGTGCGTGAGTAAGGGTAAAAATAGAAGATTCTGAGTGGGGGTGTGTGAGTAAGGGTAAAGATGAAAGATTATGGTGTGTATTGAGCAAATTTTTTATTTATCAAATTACTAAAGATGTACATTGAGTAATGGTGTGCCTTGAGATGAAATGTGGTGTGTAAATAGAGGCATCCAAAATAAAGAGATGATGTGACTTTAAAAAGTTGGTGCTTGCCAAAACGCCCCTTATTATTCGATTTTTGTGGATCTATTTCGGAGTTTATATCAATCGTTCAAATTATTTAATACATAAAGTTTGTTACGTACTTTATTATTATAAAAAATTATATTAATTGGATATTAATAATTATTTGATCACAATATATTTATATCAATAATATATTTTTAAAATTATAATTACTGTTGATACAAATTTGATTAGATTAAATGGTTATTGTTATCCAATCAACATAGTTTTTTATAAAAATGAACTGCTCAATAAGTCTTACATATTGGAGGTGTTTGTTTTAGCTTTTCAGAGCCAACTTATGGCTTTTAGCTTTGAAAAAGTTATTTTGGACTGTTTGGTTAAACTTGTTTCAAACAGCTTCTGATTTTAACAGCTTATTTTAACTCAAAAAAGCTGATTCTGAGAAGCTGCTCACCCCTTGCTTCTGATTATCAGCTTCTGCTGTGGACATGTTAATTTATGGTTATACTCTTAAATTTTTTTATTTTTTATTTTTTTAAAAATAGAAAAAGACTCAAATGGACTATAGATTATTATTATTATTTTTTATGAGAAATGTAGACAAACAAAAAATAAAAATTAATTGAAAAAACTATTTCACAGCTTATTTAACAAACACTACTCAGCAACTTAAATCTATAATCCAATAATTACACCAAACAGATTAACAACTTCTAAAGTCATAATCTATAATCTATTAAGTTATAATTTATAAGCTATTTTAACAGTTACACTAAACGAACTCATTGAACGATTCAAATTATTAATGTGATCTCCATAATTAGTCTACAAAGTCTAACAACAAATTTCAATCTGGTTTTAAACCGGAGACAAACATGTGCCTTTTCGAATTCACGTCAATTGCGATCAATTTGATTTTGTAATTAATATTAAGAAAGTGTTGTGACATTTGGAAACTTTTACGGCTCCATTTGGCTTGTTTTTGGAATCATGATTTTGAAGGTAAACCATTTAAATTACTTTTTAAAATTTATAATCAAATATACAATTTAAATTTATTCAAAACTCGATTTAAAAATTAATTTTAAAATTTAAATTTTTTTTCAAAACTCTTTTGATTATATAGTGTTGAAAATAGTTAGTGATAAAATTGTTAAATTCTTATTATAAAAAATCTAAAAAAATTAATTTCTATATTTAAAAAGATCTAAAACAAATATAAATATTTTTTGCTCTTTTCGAAATTCAAAATTCAAAAATCAAAAATTTCTCTCAAAATATTTTTTAAAACTCATAACCAAATAAATTTTTAATTACTCAAACCTCAACTCATAATTCCACACTCAATTCACAACTCTAAAAAGAGAATCACAATTCCAAAACTAAACCAAACACTACCTACATTTTTCATTTATATTTATTAAAAAAAAATTGTAAACTAGTTTTGTTCAGTTTTAGAAGAACAAAAACTATTAACACGTGTAAACACATTCGGTTTTAAAAAAATAAAATAAAAAACTTGCTCTCTGCGCTATTTTTGAACTCCTAACCTCATACCCATCTCTTCCTTTTTTTTTTTTTTTTTCGCTACCTTTCTACATTTATATCAATTTATAAATAAATATAAACACATTTTTTGAGTTTGTGGATTTTGCTTTAATTTTTAATTTAAAGAAATTTATTTATAAACTCAAAATGTTACCAAACAAATTTATAGGACAATTTTTCAAATTTTTGTAAATATAAATAGAAAATTGAAAACAAAAATATTACCAAACAGACCGTGAGAAAAGAGCATTGAAAAAGAGAACAAATGTGGATTATTTACATCAACATTTCTAAATTATTGAAAAATATCATTGTGATCCTTTAAATTATAAAAACGTACAAATAAATTTCATAAACTTTTGAGAAGTATCATTTTACCCCTTAAATTATAAAAACATATAAATAGACCCCCTAAATTATAAAAACTTATAATTTAGGGAGTCTATTTATACAATGTTATAGTTTAGGGAATTAAAGTAATACTTTCAATACTTTATGAGACTTATTTGTACGCTTTTATAATTTAAAGGGTTAAAATGCTAGTTATCAATAGTTTATGAAGTTTTCGTATAAATAATCCTAAAAAGATTATAAAGTGTTTTAAAATTCATAAAAAATTGTATTGAATTTAACAATAAATGTCTTGAGAATAACATATTTTTTTATCATTTTCTTGTACACGACTCATACTTATTAACCGTACTTGTTAAGAAGACCCTTTGTAAAAGAAGAAACTAAAAATTGTAGAAAAAAATCATCATCACATAGGGAAGTACAAGTGACTTACACCTCTATAATCTTTCATTTACATCATACCATAAACAAACTTGCACCTCCATTTATTTGTTAAATGCATTGGGATATCCATAGAGCCATATGATTTGATCAATGATTTTCAAAGCTCTAATTTAAAATAATTATTCGATGTCTTAAAGGGATTGATGTGGTCATGCCACATTGGGCGTGAAATATTTTTTTCCTAATCCATTTTGAAATTGCAGACACATTTTTTGTGCTTGAATTGAGCAATGCTGTTAATATAAATATTTTTTTAATATATTTAGCTCTTGTTTGTCATAATTTAAAAAAGTCAAAAGATTAAAAAGTCACTATCCTATTTAAATCACATCATCTTATTTAAGTCACATCACTTCAAATACAACTCATGCTCAATCCATATTTCATAAAAATTTTAAAAATACACTTATTTAAATCATCCCAAACTACCCCTTAATATAATTTGTAATGATAAAGATATTTCAGACACCTTTGGTATTTATTTGCTTAAAATAAGATCTTGTTTAACAACTTTCTGTTTTAGTCAAAAAGTCACTATAAGTTATCACATTACTCTCTTTACTTCTCTGCACATATTTTCTTAAAAAGTAAAAAAGTAACTAAAATAGCACGTTCCCAAACGAGAATATACAAATAAGTTAGTACTTAGACCATCTCTAACATTTACTTAAATCTGTTATCAAATTTGAATTTGATTAAAATAAGTCTTAAAAATTGAACTCCAACATTCTCATCAAAGTGATATAAACTAGAGAGAAAAACAGATATTTCATCAAATGGAGGGAGGTTTGATCTTCTATCAAATTTAAATGGTTACCGTTGGACCAGATATCTACCCAAATGTCCACATAAGGCAATTTTATTTTATTTTTTTGATCAAAAAATAGTAATATCCATTAAAATAGCCAGACCCTATTGTAAGTGGGACCAGATGTCTCAAGTTCCATACCCCCTTTTTCTCAAGTTCTTAATTTTTTTTTTTCGATCTGCTCTCCCAGCTTTATGGCTCGGGTTTGAGTCACATAAATCAACCTCTCCACAAGAAAGTAGGGGAAAGGCAGGCCTACCTACTATATTATATGCCTCTCCCAGATCCTATTGTAAGTGGGAGCCTTTTGGGTATGATCTATTTACATACGGACACTAATTAGCCACAAGGCCCATAATCTAGCTGTGATACAAGAAGAAATTAGTGGTTTCATGTGACAAGAAATAATTGCTTTGTTTTGGGCACTTAACACATTTTTTTTTTTGGTTTGCAGGTTGCACAGGACTCGTGTGGTATTGAGACTTGTGGCAACGGGGGTTCATCATACCAGCAAACTTGTTCTGAAGGCTCTCTGAATATGGTTGTCATTGTTTCCGTACAATGTAAAAGTTCTATGGTGAAGAGCCTGTCAAACAAATGTGATAAAACCTATAAATGATTATGACTTCCTGCCTCTCTGCTTGTACAGACCAGCAAACCTTCATTGTTACTCGCTTCAATCAGAGTCTGGATTAATGTGTAAATAATTGTAAATTACATTGTTGTATCTTGGCAATTCACACAATTCATCGAATTATGGTCTCATCTTTCTTGATTTATAACTGCATTATTTGATGTCCCGGTGGTCAAATGATATGATTGTCGAGGATAAGATTGGCAAATCACATGGATAATACTAACTCAGGGCTGAAGTTAGAAACTACAGTTCTGAAGAAAAATGAAAAGAGCTTTGTTCAACTGCTCAGGAATGGGAATAAGATAGCAACGATGATGATGCTTAATCGAGACAATAGAAACAGATAAATCGAAGGTTTGAAATTTTAATTTTCAAAATCAATATCAAAAGTATCTGGCATAAGCCTAGATACTAACTGACAAGCTTACTAACTGAATCAAAATTTGAAAATAAAAATATAAAATCCCAAAATTAGCGAAATTGATTAGGTAAGTCCTAAACAAAAGCAGCCTTGCGCTTACACCCCCGCCTAGGCCTCTCGCGATCCACATCCCAAGTAAAGCACACAACAATGGCAGTCAGGTTGTCTTTGCTACGAAGGCCCAATGCCTGATCAACAACTTCACTAGCACACTGCTTTGGATGGTGGTGTTGCATTAACCCATGACAAACAATGTCGACTGCTTCTTGATTCGACAGTACATCCCAGATCCCGTCAGAAGCCATGATCAAAAACTCATCATCCTCAGTTAAAACAATTTGATGAACATCCGGCTCTGCAGTGAGAGGCGACAACGACACAGACCCAAAAGGGCTCTTCATATACCAATCTCCAAGGGCACGAGTCACGGCAAGTTCACCATTAGGGTACCCGAATTTGATGGTACCACCTAACTCCTCAACCCTTCTTCGTTCCGGCAAATAACTAGTCCTGTGATCTTGAGTTATCGGCATTGCAATCCCTTTTCGACAGATCACAGCACGACAATCCCCAGCGTTTGCTACTACTAAATGCCTGCCGAGTACTAGAGCAGTCAGTGCCGTGGTTCCACAGTCAGATGAAACACCACTGCATTCTTCATCCGCCAAGGCACGATCAGCGAGCAAAAAAGCTTTGATGTGACAATCCTTCAACTCATTCAAGAAACCATTATCATCACCATCATCAATATTATGGGATGTTTTGAAGAAATCAACATCTTGGAACAAAAATCTAATGGCGTTGTTCTTGAGATACGTTGCGGCTTCAGAGCCTCCATGACCATCGAAAACAGCGTAGAAAGAAGTTGGAAGAGGGCAGGTATGAAGAGATCCGAGATGGGAAGATAGATTGTCGACTACGATGTGTTCATCCTCGTTCCATCTTCTGGGTCCAGTTGCTGTGTGGCTACCAGAACGAACCTTTAACGCAAACTTCATCACCATCACTGTAGAAGAAGAAGAAGAAGAAGACGAAGAATCGGAAAAAATTGGTTTGTATCGGAAGGAATTTATAGCGAAAAGAATTGAAGCCACACTTTGATTTTATATTGGATTTTGAAGTTTCAATTGTGTCTCCAAATAAATAGGTTTCCACTGTAAAACACTTACATGGTAAATTTTTCTTTTTTTTTTTATTTTTTGGATGGGTTCAATTATTTTTTTTGGGGGGGGGGGTTAAAAGATAGTAGTGTAGTTAAATTGGTTTGTATTGGAAGGTATTTATAGTGAAAAGAATTGAAGCCAAATTTTAATTTTATATTGGATTTTGAGGTTTCTAATTGTGTCTCCGAATAAATAAGTTGCTTCTTATGAACGTTTTCCACTATAAAAAACTTATTTGGTAAATTTTTCTTTTCGTTTTTTTTTTTTTTGGGTGGGTTCAATTTTTTTTTTTTTGGGAGGGGGTTCAAAGATAGTAGTATAGTTAAATTGGTTTGTATTGGAAGGAATTTATAGTGAAAAGAATTGAAGCCAAACTTTAATTTTATATTGGATTTTGAAGTTTCCAATTGTGTGTCTCCGCATAAATAGGTTTCTTCTTGTGAACGTTTTCCATTGTAAAACACTTATATGGTAAATTTCCCTTTTCGTTTTTTTTTTTTTTTTGATTATAAAAATGAACTGCTCAATAAGTCTTACATATTGGGGTGTTCAAAGATAGTAGTAGAGTTAAATTGATTTGCATTGGAAGGAATTTATAGTAAAAAGAATTGAAGCCAAACTTTGATTTTATATTAGATTTTGAAGTTTCCAATTGTGTGTCTCCGAATAAATAAGTTGCTTCTTGTGAATGTTTTCCACTGTAAAACACTTATATGGTAAATTTTCTTTTTTGTTTTTTTTATTTTACATCTAATTTCATTTTTTGTTTTTTTTTTTGGGGGTCAAAGATAGTGTTTAGTGTAGTTACTAAAATTAGATTATAACTGAAGGATTTACCACTACTCCTACTCACCATATCCTAAAGTATAATTACTAAACCATTGAGTCACACCCAAATGTCTACATTAATTTCAATTTACTCCTCACTTTTTAATTATTTTTGTTAATTTTTCACATTTTGCGTTAAAAGCAACAATAAACTCATTTATATAATATCCTTTCAAAAATTAACAACAATAATTATTTATTTATATTAATTGCATTTAATATAATCCTTTAACACTCTTATATTTTTATTAAAATATCATTTTATTCTTTTTGTCAATTTTCAAAACGAGTTGTTATATGATTGACTTGTAGCAAATCTAAAGATTAACTGAGACAATTAAAATATGTAAGATTAAATTTGAGACAATTAAAATATGCAAGATTAATCTAAAATACAGAAGTGCAAGTGAATTTTATTCAAATAAGACAAATTAAATAACTTGACAACTAAAAAATACAAATATTGATACAGTTATCCGTAACACAATACCAACCCAACAATAACAATCTAACTATGTGAAGTTTCAAAAAATAGAAGACAACACTCAAAGCACAAGCTCAAAATTTATATTTTTATGTGTTTATTATATATGTCATATATTTTATGATAAATTACACTTACCTCTTTTGAGATTTCTAATAATTATAATGGTATTTTCTTCTTTTTCTGAAATTACGTTGACTTCCTTTGAAATTTACTTTTGATTTCCACATTCTTCTAATCTGGTAGTTGACCGTTAGTTTGAATAATGGTTCTATTTTTATTTTTTTTCTATAAAAATTAGTGATTAGTTGTTAGATTAGCACATAAAGAATTCTTGTTTGGCATACAGCATTTGAAATCATTATATGTTGATTAAGGATAAAAGAAATAATCATTTTTTAGGTTAAAAAAATAGTATGACTTATTGAAGCTAAATGAAAAATAGAAGACCTTGTATGTATGTAAAGCAATTAATTATGTGTGTGTGCGTGTGTGTGAGAGAAAGAGAGAGAGTATTTAGAAATATTATTTAATATTGCTCAAATAAATACATGTGGTGTCATAATTTTATTTTTATTAGTTTAAATAGTGAGACTTGTCAATTTTATCTTATTTTTTGAAAAACAACTAAACTGTATAATGTCAAGTATTTATTAAAAATTTCCAAAAAGTTATTTTATATTTATGTAATTAATTTTTGGAACAATTACAACAACAACAACAACAACAACAAAACAAACAAATAAACAAACAAACAAACAAACAAAGTTTGAACTATTTAACAAAATAAACTACAAGTTTTTAATTTTATCAATTTAAATCTTAATATTTTGATTTGTTTTCAATCTAAACTATCACCAATTTTTTTTAAGTAAAATCGATGGAAAAAAATATTTTAATTATTAAACTCAATATAGATATACATAAAATGTCTAAAATACCATTTCTCATTGAATTTATGACTAAATTACCTATTTTTAATCACTTTACTTAAGAAAATAGGTAAATAATTTAAAATGAAAATAAATATAAAAAAATTATGATTTAAATTGACAAAATTCAGAATTCATAATTTATTTTGTTATAAGGGTCAAATCTTGAATTTTTTTGTAATTTTCCCTTAATTTTTTAATTTGTTTCATTATTACTTTTGTCATAATAATAGATTATTCTAAAATATACACCATCTTATGCATATCATATACAAGTTATAACATTTATGGTATTGATTATCACAAATGTCAAAATTAATTTTTTTTTAATCATAACCAAATAACATATAAGATATGACCAAAATAATATTCTCTAATATTAAAATTATTAAACTAATCCTTCCATTAATGCCATTAGTCACTAGGGAAGTCAATATAATTTTAAAAAAATGAGGAAAGGCTAGTGTAATTGTCAAGAACGGCAAGCGGGGGTGATTGCAATTTACCCTATATTTTATTCAAATGTAACAGATATAGGTTTTTTTTTAAAAAAAAACCTAACAAAATGAACAGGACTAGAAGAATTATAATGGGGGAAAGAATATCCCATGACTAACAAAAATTAGAACATCAACCCTAAACCCAAAAACCTTCTCAAGTGTTCCTAATTTCTTTGATATATAGGTTCTTGTTCAAAACAAAAAAACCAAAAACAAAAAAAAGCTACTACATAGGTTTTTATTTTCAGAACAAATGAGTATTGGCTGTATCATAACTCCAACGAAACGGACTATTACATTGCATATTGAACATATAATTCTAGAATAATTCTATTACAGAATCCAAGTTTCAAAGATGTGAAGCAGTAACACTTTTGTTGCTATAGCATGGCATTCAGAACAACTATGGTATGGTCACCAATACCTAATTTTAGTTTACTGAAATTCATTTTGAAGGTTAATATTAAGCTACAAAGGAGAGCAATAATAATAACTAAAAAAATTGAGTGGTACTACATGCATCAATTAATATATTAACTAGTGTACCAACACTAGTTATGACATTATTATTGACCCCACTCATTATACAAATTACAAATACCAAAAATATCTTAAATTCTGCTACATTATCAATTGGTATATTAATTAGTGCACTAATTGATGCATATAGCATTAGTCAAAAAAAATTGTGCCATAGAATTTGCTCGGATTCTGTAGCCTATTATTAGATGGAAACTTATATGTTGCAAGATTTTGGGAAGATGCAACTATATGATAGAGGGAAGTTCCGCCTTTTAATGTGTAGCATTTAGACATACAGATTTCTATTGCAAATGTTTAGTAATAATAACACTGTTAATTGTTTTACATCTGGAGCACTATTGTAGAGAATTTTATTTTTTTTTTCCCATTAAATTGTTTTAAAAATGACCCCAAATATACCTAATACTTGAAGGCAACAAACAAACTAATCCTATTAAACGGAAAACTTATTAGTTTAACACCATACTAGGTTCTTAATGTCTGACATAATGCTAAATATTTTAAATTACCAAATCCCCTTTATCCTTCACTATCATTTTACAATTATGAAGAACATTGAAAAGTCATTTCAAAATTAAACACAAAGTACGGTATAAAAGCAGCAACTCTTATGAACTAAATTGGTATCCCAACTAATAGTAGTGGCTAACATCAATTCCTATGAAAATTCCCAAATCAAATCACCAATAAACAGAAGGTTCGTAACATAAATTTAGAAAATACAAAATTAAGGCATGGTAACACTAATAGCTGTGTTATTGAATTAAAGAACATAGATCTTTATTTTCACACATTATTGATGAATAGGAGTGTATTTCATGAGCCCAATGGAATAATTGTGGGAACAGAAGCAGACAGTAGCAATGATAACAACTGTTAATGCTGTTCGTCCCAGTGAATGGATCAGATAGGTCCAAGCTCCTCCAGCCCGTGTCCAAATGATCAAGCCCACCAGATAACCTGCAGGCAAGTTCAACGGGGAACAGGGTAGTCCCCCAGCGAACTCTCCGACGAGCAAGTTAGGAAGAGAAGCAGAGTATATGGGAGAGGATTAGAGATAGAGAACTTAACCTTTTTTTTGTCTACAACATTTGCTTATATCCTTTTGCCATCATTTCGCTGTCCCTTCCGACCTGCTCTCTTGCTGAAAGCCTATGCTGTAGCTTACCTTGCTCAGGGTAAGGGGGTCCTGTTCCGACAGAGAGGTGTTATCGTAATAAATGCTGTGATGGACTGCATTAATGGTGATGTGTAGTGGCAATAACTTTGCAGATCTTTATCTGCTGATGTGGCTCGTCCTCCACCCGCCGCGTGTCTGAATGTTGTTAGTTCTTGGTGCCATATTGGATTCCAGCTGTTCCGGACTCCATCGACAGGGTTATGCATTGGGCCCCGAATGATGGGCTCGGGTTATTTATAGTGGTTCATGGCCTTTGTGGGCCTATCCATGTCAGTAGTCCCTCATTCCCGAGTGTAGCTTCAGACCAGCGAAGGGAATATGTATGAGGAAGATGAGTTCGACCGGGATGGGCGGCCGAGTTGGTGAGGCGAGCGTAGGATTGTCCGACCGTGGAGAGGGTTGATCGCACGAAGGCCGAGCGGGGGGCCTACCGGCCGAGCTAAAGAGCCGACCGTGAAGAGGGGCGATCGTGCGAGAAGGCCGACCGTTGAAGGCAGGCCGACCCAAGGG